TTCCCCTTCATCCTCATCCTCACAGTGCCGCTCCGCATGGTGGTGCTCACCCGTGTCTTCACCGAGCGAGAGATGAAATGCGTAAGCCCTCCCACCTGCCTCCCCCACCCCCTCTTGGTCCCCTCTCATCTGCCTGTGGATCTAGAAAGGCTCCCCTTCCCTTCTTGACCACCACCCTCCCACACAGCTGGATGCCAACGAGGCAGAGCCAGTGTTTGATGAGCGGGAGGGTGTGGACGAGTACAATGAGATGCCCATGCCTGTGTAGCCGCCCATGCCTGTGTAGCCGCCGCTGAGAGACAGCTGAGAGACCGCCAAGAGACGGATGGATGAGGGGACAGGCTGGTGGGATGGGGTTCCCCCTCCCCTGCCCCTCCCTCCTCATTTTTATTTAAGTGAATAATTTAAAGTCCCCTCCTCCCCCAGTGCCCCTGCAGTAAAGTGCTTTGGCCCCCACTTATCTCTGGCCTTTTGTCTCTATGTGGGGGCATGAATGGAAGAGAGGCAGCGGTCCCAGCCCTGCTCCCCATCCCAAAAATGAGACTCACAATAGGGAAGGAAAGGAACTTTAATAGAAACCAAAACATAGGGAACCAAAGTGCAAATCGTCCACCCCCCATAGGGGGGCCATCCTGAACCCCACATCATCCCCTCACCCCCCTTCGGGCCCCCAGCGCAGGCCCAGGGCCTGGAGCTTCTGCCTCAGGTAGTTCTTGAGTTGGGGCAGACCTCTCTGGGACTCCAGTTCCTCAAAGGGTAGCTGCCAGGAGAGGAGAGGGTGGCAGGTTACCTGTGGGCTGGGAGTGAGGTTTTGCCACAGGCCAGGCCAGGGCCACTCACCGGCAGGAGCTGGTAGCCCATCAGGCCTAGGTGCCGCTCCCTCAGGGCCCTCGAGCCCAGCAGCACCCTGCCGTCCCGGCAGAAATGCCAGCGTTCGCGCAACACCAGCACCACCCTGTGGGGAGAGGGACATGGCTTAGGGCATGGTGGGCAAGGTGGCCAGGGCTCCCCCACCCTGCCTCCCTTACCTCTGGGCAGGGTCTCGGGTAGTGGGGCTAGAGGCAGCCTGTCCCTGGGGGCAGGACCTTGGTGGGTATGGCAGGAAGGGGTCCTGGGTCCTCACGGGAAGAACAGCACCAGAGCTGCCGACACACAGCAGGAAGTCTGGAGGGGGAGCAGGGCGGGTGGTCTTAGCCAGGGCTCTGTCTCCCTGGGCCTGCGGCTGGCCCCTCGCTCACCTGTGCAGTAGCCTGGAGGCACGGTCAGGTCCTGGCGGTATTTCTCCTCCCCCAGCAGCTGGCGCAGCCCCTCAGCTACTATGTCCTTGTGACTGAGGAGAAAGGACACCAGTAGCAGGAAGGGCCCAGTGCCTCATCCTAGTCTGTCCCAGTCTAGTGCTGCCACCCTGCTGGGCAAAGCCCTCTGCTGCTTCAGGGTCCAGTTTTCTTTATGGGGCTGAGCACCTGAGCTTTGGCAGTTCATGGTCCCTCTAGCTTTTCCACTCTGTGCTGCTCCCAGGCCAGCCCCTCCCCTTGCCCCAGGCTGTCCCATCCACCTGTACTTGCAGCGGGCACGGTCGGTGATGAGAGGCTGGGGAAAGACGGGCACTTGCTGCCTTCGGGGAAGGCGGGGACCCCGGTATCCTGGGAGCTCCAGCTCCACGGCCGTGTCCAGCAGGGAGAGGTAGCGACGCACAATCAGAGCATGAGGGGTGCCTGTGGGGAGGTGGAGACTGGGGCTCTGGGCTGCAGGCCACCCTGCTCCCCTGCCTCTCCAGCCCTCAGGGCCCCAGCCAGCCATCCTGGCCGCGTACCACTGATGTAGTTGATAAAGCCAGGGGAAAAAACAAAGTGCAGGACTCTGAAGGGCAGGCACCGCAGTTGGCACAGTGACATCAAGATGTTGACTGTAGCCAGGGGTGCCACCCCTGCTTCCCGAGCCAGGATCCTCTCAAGGCAGGGCATAAACTGCTGTTCCAGGGGCAGGTAGTTCAGCCGCCCAAAGGGCAGGACCAACTTCTGTACCACCTGTGAAGGAAGAGCAGTTCATTACCCAGTGTGAAGTGTTTCTGCAGTCATCTTTCACAAGCTAAGCCTGAAAGGCTGAGCCAAGTTTATAACATTGCTGTAAAGACAGGACAGCTCCTCCAGCCTCACAGTTCAACAGCAAAGCAGTCATGAGCTGCATGTGACTAATCACCAGACAGGCAGAGGGGACATCACTGTGGGGTCTGGCCCTGAAGACTTCCAGGAGAGGGATGGGTGGAGCTAGGATGGTGCTAAGTGCTTTAGGAAACTGCACAGTTCCAGGAATACATGCTGCTGATGGGAGGTGGGCAAGCCACAGAGGTGTGGGAAAAGATGCAGGTCCCAGGAGACGGAGAGGATGTGTCTGCGTCAGGAAGAGGACAGCCAAGCTTGACAGGGCGCTTGGCTTGACCAGGTCCCTGAGAATGACTCAGGGATGCACAGGAGGTGGGAGGCAAGCCCACCTTGCTGGTGAGCTGGTTTTCCTGAACCACTAGGAAGTGGGCAATGGCTTCCAGAAGCTGGGGCTCCCGTAACCGGTGCCGGGCCAGGTGCTGGGCCAGGAGCACCATCACATGGGGCGTCAGTTCCTCTGGTCTTGTCTCTGTGAAGAACAGCCTGTCACAATGGGCCTCAGGCCGGACCTCCAGCTGGCTCAACTCCACCTCAGCCTAGCTAACTGAGCCCACTTTCCTCCTCCTGTCAGCCCTCCCCTTCCCTATCTGCCTTTAACCCCCTCCAGCACCTGCCAGGCTGCTGATCAGATGCTGCCGTGGATACCGCAGAAAACGGGGGCAGCTCAGAGCAGCTTCCAGCCTTTGCCCACCTCGGAGAAGAGACGACAAAGGGGGAGGTGGCTTCGGAGGGAGGCGGAGCCTTCGCTCCTGCTCCAGGGCGCGCACCAGGGGACCATCAGATGGAAAGCCTGAGGGGAGAGATGAAAGGCAGCCTGATAACAGAGCTGTGCAGCTGTTCTAATCATGGGGTTACTTGGTGAATTCCCCACCATTCTCCTCTCCACTTCCTGAGCGGGAAGGTGTGCTAGAGTTTAAGTGCAAACAGTGGAGAAATGTAAACTATCATGTGACTATGAGGTATCAGAACGGTCTGTGGGGAATACATACAAAGATGGCAAAACAGGCTTTCATCTTGTGCCAATTGTGACAAGTTATAGTGGCTTCCTAGGGCACTCTATTAGCAAGAATCTGGGGTGGCACCCTAGCGAGGCTGGAATGAGTGCGTTCGACTCATGATGTCTCACAGAACGGGAGCAAGAGCAAGTGTTCCTGGGCACACGCCTGATAGGCTGGGTCTCTGTCCATGGTCCTCTCCTGTTTTCCCTATTCTTCATTAACACCCAGCAGCCCCCCAGGCGCCCACCTCAAGCCCCTCCTCACCAAGTAAGACTGCAAGGTGCAGACACACGTGGATGGTGTGCATGTCAAAGGAGGGGCAGTTTCGGATGATGAGCTGACTCAAGTCCTGCAGTGTGGCCTGCTCCACAGGAGGGGGCCGTGGCCTAGACCCCAAGAGTTGGCCAAGACGACGAAGCGCCACCGGGTAGTGGTGGGCGCGCACCTTGGTGGGGTTCTGGCCCAGCCAGCGCAGCAGCTCCCCAGGGCTCCTCGCCTGTTCCAGAAGCCGCTGCAGCCCTTGCACATGACCTGTACTGGGGCTTCCTCCAAGAGGCCAGTCTCCCCATTTGCTGGGTCCCAGACAGCAGGGCTGTACTGGCGGGATCAGCAGCAAGCCAGACAGCCGAGTAGGGGAGGTCTGAGCAGAGAGCAGGACTCGAAGCATTGAGTTGGGTGATGGAGACCCTGAGGGGCAGCCCAAAAAAAGGGGTGAGGCTTTCTCCAAAGGGAGAAAGACCTGCTACCTACTCCTTACCTCACTCCTCATTCAGGGGACCTGGGTTCGAGCAACCCTTTGTGACTGCTCTGGGCCTCTTCCCCGCCCCGCCCCTCTGCCTCTTTCCACTGCTTTGAAACAGCAATCATAATCCTCAGTGCGGTCAGCGCAGCACTACTTGCAAAGCAATTCCACATGCACCATCCCTGATGCTCCTTACACGCCCATGAGGAGTAGGCAGGGCTGGCATTACCTCATTTCACCGGTGAGAAACGCAGGCCCAGAGCGGCGGAGAGGTTAAGCCCGGGGTCATGAACCGGGTTAGTGGTCGCGCCCAGTCTGGAGCCCAGGCGACACCGGCGTGCGCTCTCCCGACCACCTCCCTCTCCCGCAGGAGGCGGCGGCGGCAAAGAGAGTGGAACGCGGGGTGCGCGGCTGGACGGTGCTGGGTTCCATGCTGGGCGCTCCCACTTACCAGCGGCGTGACCTTGGACAAGCGGCTTCGTCTCTCCAAGTCTCCTCACCCGTGAAATGAAAACGCAGCGCCCACCTCGCAGGGAGCGCCCGGGGCCCGAGTGCGCCGCTATGCGATGGCGCGGAGTCGGCGAAGTCGGGGACCCCACACCCACCCAGGCCCAGGGACGCCAGGAGACCGTGGCCGCTGCCGCTAACACCAGCTCCCGCAGCCCTCCCGCAGCCCGCCCCGCAGGCGCCACCCCTACATGACTCCCCGGGCCCTGCGCAGGTCGCTCCCTCAGTCGGTCTCGGGGCCCGGGGGCCAGGCTCCCCCCGCGGCCTCCTCATCGGCCGGCCGCCGAGTCCGCCATCTTCCCAGCAGCCCCTGGATCGCCGCCCGGACACCAATCCCGGCGCTGCGCAAGGCTAGCGGAGACGTGGCTCCCGGCAGGCACTGCGAGCCAGGGAGCCGCGAGCCCGCCCCCGGGAAGTGCGCGCGCGGCGCCGGGGGCGGGGCCACGGAGGCCCGCGCTGAACACCCGGCGGAACACCCCGGAGAAGGGAAGGCGGTGGACCAGGGCGTAGGGCGCAGTCCGTGCCCTTCTCTCCCAAGGGGCGAGGGCTCCCCGCCCGCCACCCCGCACACACTCAGACACACTGCAAGAGTGAAAACTTCACAGTTACTTTAATCTGCACGGGTTCCGGGGAACTCCTTTGCCCCTCCCCGCTCCCCTTCACCAGCCTCCCACGGTCCTGGCGTCCCCAACTCAGCCCATGGTGCTGTCAGGGACTGGAAGCGGCTGGGTCCTCCGGCAGAACGCTAAGACGGGCCCGGGGGGCGGCCCGTCTCTGCCCGGGGCCGAGGCAGCGACAGCAGGTCCCTGACCCCGAGGAGCCCACTCCCAGTGCTGGCTGAGGGCCAGCAGCCCCGGGAGGCGGCCCCGAACCACGGCGATCGCAGGGCTGGGCCTCTGCCAGCCCCGGGAGTCCTCTGCGGCGCAGGGCTGGGCTCCAGGGCAGCGGGAAGAGGCAGGCCGGAGAGGTGGGCTTGGGCAGGCAGCAGTTCCCGCCACGGCGCGGGGAACAAGGTCCAGAGTGGCTGGCGATGCCGCCAAGCGCCCGCGGAGGCACTACGGGCGGTACATGGCAAAGGCCAGGAGACTGAGGAGCAGGGTGAAGCCGGCCAGGCCCAGAGTGGCGGTCAGGGGAAAGAACGGTCGGTACTGGATCTGGCAGTACCAGAGCAGCAGCAGCAGCAGGAGCAGCAGGGGCAGCAGCAGGCTGCCGATTTCCAGCCCGGAGGGGCCGGGCTCGGACCCCGGGGGGCAGGGGGGATTTGGGGGGCCGACCCTCGTGGACACGTGGCAGTGGAGAACGCAGTTGGGAGGGAGGTGAAGGCTGCCCAGGGTCTGGGTGTCGTCGCCTAGCAGCTGCCCTTGGTAGATGAGTCGCACCTGCTGTTCCCGGCCGGGAAACTGGGTCCTGAGGAGAGAGGGACCTGGGTAAGAGAGCAGGCCTCAGGCAATCCTAGTCCCGGGTCCCGGAACAGCACTCCCACCCGCCCCCTGCCCTCCACACCGCACCGGACCTGGCTTGGGAGGGGCCATCTGCCAGGGGAACAAGTGTAGTTGTGATGTGGGGCGCTCAGCGCCTCCAGTATAAACGAGGGCTGGGTCTCAGATCTCTCCGGGGGCCTTCTGCGACTACTCCCCCCACCCCTGTCTTTAGCATTGCTCCCGCCTCTTGCCCTGCTTACCTTTTTAAGGAGCCAATGGTGTCGTGGGGCCAGGCCCTGGCCACCTGCTCTGAATCATTGAGGAATTTCAGCCGTAGCACGAGGGGCTCCTGCGGGGAGTCCAGGGCTGGCTGTGTCGGTGTTGCTGTGACCCCCGTGCTGGGCTCTGGCTGTGCAGCTTGACCTCTGTATCTCAGGCTGGGGGTCTCTGGCCCTGGGGCCTCCCCTCTCATGCTGTCGGTAGCTGCCATGGCTGCGCTGGGCTGGGCTGGCGATGGGGTCCCTGACAGCTGGGGCAGTGGGTCCCCGCCCTCAGCAGTGTGCGTTGAGACCCAGGCAAGGGCCAGCACCAGAAGGCAGGCAAGCACCGAGAAAAGGACGGTCACCTCATCACCCACCCCTTCAATCAGGGTCATGGCGCTTGCCTTGCCCGCCGCACTACCGAGCTGGAGAGGCACAAAGAGCCCGTGAGGCGCGAGACCCCCGGGCCAGGGGCCCTAGAACCTCCACAGGATCCTGCCCCCACTCCACCACTATGCTCCCAGCGTCCTCAGCCTCCGTCCCCTCACCCACCCCAGGGTACCGGCTGCTCTGCCTCCCAGTTGCCCCAAACTTGCGTCCCGGTGCCCCTTCCCATCGCCGAATCCCAAGTCCTAACTTTCTGTCTTCTGAGCTCGAGGTCTTCAACCAGCTCCCAGCTCACCCAAACCCTATGTCAAGGTAAGGGCCCCGACCTTCTAAGCAATGCCTCCCCTAAACTTCACCCCGACCAAACTGCACCCCCAAGCGTATCTATTCTCCTGTCCACTTCACTCCAGTGTGTCCACTCCTTCACCGACTTCACCCCAGGCTCATCTACTCCGTTGCTAAAGTTTCTCCGAAGTAGGGGTGGAGCCTCTGTACCCCCACCCCCCACCCACAGCGTTACCGTTCACCCAAACCCCACCCGCGGCACCGGACTGCTTCCCAGGCTTCCCCCACAGCAAACGTCAAACTCGCCCCTGGGCAATCTGGAGCCTCCGAGCGTCACCACCCACCCAGCTCGCCCCCCTCCTGATCCCCTCAACCCCTCTCCCCGGAGGCCCAACTCTGCGCCTCCTCTGGAAGCGTCTCCAAGCCAAACCCCAGATCCCGCCGGGAATCCGAGACTTCACGCTCCCCGCCCCCACCCCTCGTCACCCCTCCCACCTTCCCGCCCCCCGGAGCCGCAGGAGGGCACGGCGATCCGGGGCAGCGCGGGCGGGGCCCGGCTGGGGCCCTGGGTGGCGGGGTGGGCGCGGTCGCGGCGCGGAGACTTACCGCACGGGTCCCTCAGCTCCATCGCGGCCCCTCGGGCACTTCCGGGCGGGAGGCGCGGAGGTCGCAGGCACCTGAAGCACCCCTCCTTCCCCGCTGCCGCGGCCAGGGGCATTGTGGGACTTGTAGTCCGGCGCCGCGCTGTCCCCGCCCTCCGCCCTGCGGACCCACGTGCTGGGTTCGACCTGCGGTTCCCGGCGCCTGGAGATCGCTGAGGGGCCGGTGGGGGCGGATTTGGGGGTTGTGCTACCCCCTAGGGGTTTGGATGGCAGCAGGGTCTGCCCCCTCCCCCTCCAACAGCCAGGGCATCTGTCACACCAGACACCGACGTCAGCTGGAGCACGTCAGAGCGCCCGTGTTCGTAATGCAGTGAGGAAGGCTCTGAGAAACTCAGAGGGCCCCTACCCTTCTGTCAGACTGGGCGCCAGAAGGCGCTTTGGCTACCAAAATTAATTTTTCAGCCCAAAGCCCAATATCCATGGGCTGCCCCACCAGGCTGCCTAGGAATACCCATCCTCAGGGCTGCCCCTTACCCTGGTCCCCTCCTCCACCTTGCCCCTTTAGGACTGTGAAAGAAGCATAGACTTTGGAACCTGGCACGAATCCTGATCCCTTATCCTGTGCTTATCAGCTATATGACCTTGGGTGGGTTGTTGCATCTCTCTGAACATTAATTTCTTCCTTTCTAAAACACACTTTGTAAGTCAACCATAAGGAAGAAATTAGATGATTTATTCAAAAAAGTGAAAACTATATAAGGTACATGTCACACGGTAGATATTTGTATTAGTACACTCCCTTCACCCAAACCTGGGCTTGGGAATTGGGTCCTTGGTGTGTTACTGTGTGGATGGTGTTGAATCCCAGGCCTGTGGATATCTGTGGATTTTTCCCTTTGGGCTCCTGCAGCCGCAGAGATCTCACATCCTGGTTTTTACAGGCCAGTCTTGATTTAAAATAATCTATCCTAGACTTCCCATAGTTCATGCCTACTTGTGGGAGCAAGTGGTCCAAATATTGCCTTAGGAATGTCAGTCTAGATAGATACCATACACAACTAACCTATCTCTAGTTCCTTCCCTCCTGTTCATTCACTTATTCTACTAACATGTTTTCAAAATATGTACCATGACCAGGTGTGGTGGCTCACATCTGTAATCCCAGCACTTTGGGAGGCTGAATTGGACAGATCACCTGAGGTCAGGAGTTCGTACCAGCCTGGCCAACATGGTAAAACCCTGTCTCTATTAAGAAAAAAAAATCTATCTATAGATATAGATATATACACACACAAAAAAAATTAGCTGGGCGTGGTGGTGGGCACCTGTAATCCCAGCTACTGAGGAGGTTGAGGCAGGAGAATCACTTGAACCCAGAACATGGAGGTTGCAGTGAGCCAAGATTGAGCCACTGCACTCCAACCTGGGTGGCAGAGCGAGACTCCGTCTATATATACATACATACATACATACATATATATATGTTTAAAAATACATTTTATGTATACACATACATACACAAACACTATGTGCCAGGCATTGTGCAAGTTACCAGGAATAAAATGGTGAATTGGACCCTCTTCCTGCCCTCATGAGGCTCAATATACTAGTAGAAGAGCCAGATGTGAGGACAGCCCATCAGTGCTATAACAGGTGTGTGCTACTTGCTGGGGCAACACATTTGAGGAGCTCTTTGCTCTTAGTGTCTCTCTTGGGAGGTATACCTAGTGCTACTTCCTGCTGTCAATTCTAATTAAGCATCTAAAAGAGATATTGGATGTTACTTTTAGAATTATACAATGTCAGAACTAGGTTTTCTGTTCAGCTACTATATTTTGCAGATGAAGCCCAGAGAGGGCAGAAGATATCCTTAAGGTTATGCAGGGAAAAAGAAACACATGTCCTTCAGGAGCTTAGGAGACCCCATGTGTTGATTAGCTTTCACCAGGTGCTTTGGAAGGTACAAGGAACTCAGGAATAGTGACTGGGTTGGTACTGGGGCTGAGTTGTGTGGATAATCAAACGGTGGGCAGCTTCATGCTGGGAAAAGGTCCAGCTTGGCTGGGGAAGTGGAAGTGTGTGGAAGAAGGATGATCTGGGGTAGCAGATCCCGGCAACATCCCTGGCAAATTTATTGGCTGGGGCCACTGCTCTGCACATGTCACCTCTTGCAGGTTTTAGGAAACAGTGTGTGTGTGTGTGTGTGTGTGTGTGTGTGTGTTGGTGAGGGCGGTGCTAACAGAACTGCAGCCCACTTTGCCAATGGGACTGCAGAGGAACTGGGACATTGCAGGGAGCTCCCTGGCCCCAGAGGGAGTGAAAGGACAGGATGGACAAGGTGTGAGAACAAGAAAAATTAAGAGCCACGTGGGCTCTGGTTAGTCTCTCCAATGGGATGGGTAGGGGAGAAGGGCATATAATATTTCATCCCACTCTTCTTCCTCTATCTACCAATGGGGTCGGGTAGCATTTAGCTAACCTCCCCAATCCGGCAGGGGGAGGGTCTTTTAGGAGAGGCCGATCACAAGAAGGTAAGAGTAGGGGCGTGTTTGTTCAAAGTATCATTTCCAGATCCGCAGATGATGAAGGCTCAGGGAGAACTGGAAATAGCAGCCCACAACCCATCCCAGCCTCTGAGCTGCAGCTGGCAGTGGAGAGCCTGGGCAGGGGGCCAGGGAGAGAACTCCGGTAGTAGGGTGGTCTCTAGGGCTGACCTCGGAGCCTGGGGACAGAGGAGCCTTTGCCGCACTGAAGGCGGGACGCCGTAAGCGAGGCGCAGCTGGGCCTGGGCGGGCTCCTCGGCCAATCAGCCTTGGTCAGCAGCACCCTCAGACGCAGGGCACAGTTTGGGCATTGCCTAGAGATCGGACACCCCGCTCAGATCAGCTCAGGGAGGCGAAAGCGACAGCCGGGAGCGGGAGGAGACCGGGGCAGCTGTCCCCTCAGAGAGGGTGGCACTCGAGGCAGTGTGGGTGGGGGCTGGTGAGGAGGCGGAAGGGCCGAGGCTGGGTGGGAGGGGCCCGGGCTCCTGGGCTGGAGCGGGCGGCTTGGGGGTGGAGGCTGCAGAACCAGCGAGCAAGCGAGGGGCGGGGGCGCCTGGGTCGGCGCGCAGGAGGGGCGGGGGCGGCGGGGAGGGGGGCTCGGGCTGCGTGTGCCGGAGCCGGCGGGGGCGGCGGTGCGTGCGCATGACGCGGGGGGAGGGCCCGGGCGGCGCGCTCCCGGTCCCGTTGTTGTTGCCGCTGGAGGCTGCTCCGAGGCAGTGGGATCACGGCGCCGGGAAGCGCTCGGCAGCGGTGGCCACAGCGTGCGCGGCGGCGCCTCCTGGCCTCGGCCTCCGGCCCCCGACCCCCGGCTCCATGCGCTAGCCCCGCGCCGCCGGCCCAGTAGTCCCGGCCCCGCCAGCCCCGCGCGCCCGCTCGCCGCCGCCGCCGCCGCCGCGCCGCCCCGGGCCCGCCTTGGGCCCCACGGCTTCGAAGCCATGAACTTCCAGGCGGGCGGAGGGCAGAGCCCGCAGCAGCAGCAGAGCCTGGCGGCTCCGGGGGGCGGCGGCGGTGGCGGCGGCGGCGGCGCGGGGGGCGGCGGGCAGTTCGGCGGCGCGGGGCCTGGGGCCGGGGGCGGCGGCGGCCCTTCGCAGCAGCTGGCCGGCGGGCCCCCCCAGCAGTTCGCGCTCTCCAACTCGGCGGCCATCCGGGCCGAGATCCAGCGCTTCGAGTCCGTGCATCCCAACATCTACGCCATCTACGACCTGATAGAGCGCATCGAGGATTTGGCGCTGCAGAACCAGATCCGGGAGCACGTCATCTCCATCGAGGGTGAGCGGAGCTGGGAGCTGTGGAAGCCGGGGCACGGTGGCCTCTCCCGCGCGGGCCGAGGGCTCCACGGGCCGGGCCTGGCTGTGCTTTCCCAGTGGGGGTCCTTGCGCGCTTGAGGTCCGGGCCACGAGGTTTGCCGATCTGTGCTGCAGAACCGGCGAGCAGCTTCGCCATATCTCGTTCAGGGACACTTTGGGGTTGGGGGTTTTCTGCTCTCTGTGCTCCAGGGCGCGAAGCTGGTGTCGCTCCGGGGGGCCTGGACCAGATGTGTCCAGGCCTGGCCGGGGAAGGTGGGCGCGGCAGACGGCTTCAGTTGCCGGGAGGTGGGGCCGTGACCGGGGAGGCTTCTTAGCCGCTGCCCTGGCCCTGCTCCGCAGTGGGGCGGAGGATCGGAGCTTCGCATTAGTGGATGGCAGCCTTCCCGGGCCCAGCGCCCGCAGGCCCGGAGGGTGGCGCTCGCCGCGGCGCCCTCTCCCGACGCACACCCACTACGCCGTCGCGGCCAGGCGGGCGCGGGCCGGGCCTGGCGCGGGGCTGCAGCGCAGCGACCGCGTGGGAGGCGCCGGCAGGTCCATCCGCGCCTTGGCTGGGTCCTGAGCGCGCCGGGGACCCGCGGCTTCTCGGTCTGGAGGCAGCCGCGGGGCAGCCAGGCGCTGACTGACCTCCAGGAACACCGAACCCGGAGTCGGGGACCGGAAACCCCCGGCCACTAAGCTGCCTAGCGCTCCTTTCTCTGGGCCTTTAGGCCCTGGACTTTCGACCGCTGAGGGCACAGGAAGTGGGGGCAGCTGCTGGCGGATGTCCAGTGAGTCCTGGTGTAGTGGGGCTGGCGGCACCCGCAGGCACCCCAGTGGCATGGTGACCTTCGAGCGTTCGTGGACAGATGGGCCTCGCCCTGGGCCATCTGCTTCCTCCTCCAGCTCTGTTTGAAAGGGGACGCCCACCGGCAGGTGGTGGGTTTGGCCTCAGTGGAAATGCAGCGAGAGCCAAGGCATTTTGGGATAACATGGAGCTGTGGGCCTGTCCGTGATTTGGGCCTTAAGGATAGGGCCCCTTCCAGCTTC